AAAAAGGCCTTTTGGGCTATTTTATCCGCAACTCATGTCTCAAGCCTTGTCTTACCACCGGTCAAAGTCTGTAATGCCATATCCATCACATTTACTGACATCTTGTCTTGTACGTTTGAAGGTTTTTACGTTATAAATTCTACATTTTCCAGTCTTAATTTTTTAAAACACGTTATTGCTATTCTGCTATTCTTAAAACTGTTCTTCGGGAATAAGGACTTCCAAATGAGATTGTGGATAGTTATTTTAGCCAAACAAAATGTTTTCAATGCAAAACTAACATTTTCAGAATACATACAGTAGCTAATCACAAATGTTTACAAAAAAATAACTCATGGATGAAGGCTGCAGTTATTCAGATGCAGAAAGGCTCAGCAAATCACAGGAATCGGGCGAGTAAAATAAAGGTGGTCATTGAGACTCCACGAAGGACATCAGTGAATGACATCAGTGAATTGTCACCTGAACCATTAGCTGAAACTTAACACCCAAAACCACTGCAGGGTGAAATATTAATATGTCACTTGAAAATAAAAGCTTTGATCATTACATTGTCTCTTTCTTCCATGATGATAGGTCAAAGAGAAGTAGAAAACATTGCCAAGAAAGCCCTTCAACTTTATCAGGCATTCAAAGGTTCAAGAAAACCTGAGAAACTATTAACAGCCTTAATGTGATATAATTACTAAGGCTATATATTAATACTTTTTATAAGTAAAGGCTCTGTCCTACCAGTAGAATGGATGTTTAACATTAGACTGCACAGGTGTTTTGCAATTGACAATGCCTGGCCTGCTAAGTTACAGCACTGACGGGCATGGTTTTACAACCGTGCTTCTTACCTCTCTGGGTAAGTGGGAGAAGAGGGAGGGGAAAGGTGGAATTAGGGCAGCACCTCAGCTCAACATCTTACCCAAAGGACCAAACACAGATGGTTTATAACAGCATGTGGAAATCACAGGGGAGAGAGCACACATCCTGTTACTCTGCTGCAGAACATACAAACACACCAATAGCTGGTATCCCAAGGGTACCTGTTATTGCTTGTTGCACACATTCTAAACAGTCATTTGTGCTTCTGTGTTGTATTTTAAGTGCTGTATATTGCATACCCAACTGATGCGATGCAATATAATATATAATATATTATAATATAATATAGCAATATATATAATATGCTATATATTGCATACCCAACTGATGCACAATTGCATAATACACTACAATAGAAATGGGGATTGGATTTAAAATGCTGACATTTTAGCATTAAATATCCTCCTATGCATAAAAGTTGCCAGGAATGGTTTATTCAGCTCAGTTCTGAGAGAATTCATATATTTTAGATTTCTTCAACTCATTTGGTAGGACTGGTGGAAATTGACCAACACTAAAGCTGACAAAATTCCCCATTTACAACACATCCAATAACATGCTTCTCGGAGGTATAAATGTACTGTACTAGCTATTCGTCGCCACATTCAGTATCACTTCTGTGCCCTTCATACACCTGTAATTCCTTAATTAATTATTTTTCAAATAAAGCACTCTCAGTGATCCAAAATATTGCTACTATTGAGTTATTTTAACTGTACGCCTGCTGAATAAACAGCAGCTGTACATGATTTGAACCAATGTCAAAATGACAATCAATCTCAGAGTCAAACTAGCACCTGAAATGAACACTGACAGATTAGGATGTTATTACTGATGTAATCTGAAACGTTCCAAAACATAATCACACGGAAAACAAAAACATTGGTGAAAGTTTAACAATAAAATGCAGAAAAGGATACGAAGCAGCACATCGGTGGAAAATATTGCTTTACGGCAACATTGTCGCAGAACAGCTGAGTTATTACCATAATACAGACCTGCGCATTCCCAAGGAATACGGTTTTGTTTCTGTTGAAATGTTGACATAAATATGCACACAAGCTCACATCTATCCATTACTAATCTTCAAATAACTATCAGTTTCATAAACATGCACCCAAAGGACAATAAGTGACATTGGTGTCTTTGTACATGACTTTACCGCATTCACTTTTTGCCTCAAACCCGTCACTAAACAGCAATAATCCAAGTCCACCAACTGAACTGTGCAGTCTGGTGAAAGACGTATATTTTACTCTGCTATGGCGCACCAGCATGTCATAAATTTGAACCACATCTATACAGAAAACACAAACTTTCTCTCACAAATATATAGATATTTCAGAAAAAAATGCACCCTGAAATATTCTGTGTATGTTACATTGTATTGACACATCATCTCAAACCCAGGTCTTGAAGTTGGTTAAGTACAGTATATATACTGCTCTATACAAACAAAGTCGTACCTTTCTCCCGACCATTTATAAACTTCCCCTATTAACACCAGCTTTCCTATAAATAACAATGTAATTCAATGCATTCTGACGATTTGGAGGCTGGATTTGCAAATTGTTCATCCTCCCCACCCTTAAACAGTAAAAATATGTTGAAGTGCCGTTCACAGGAAGGGTTGCAATACCCACAGCTGCTAACCGTTCAATTACCTTCACACACAATGTCATGTTTGCCAGTTTTAAACAATCAGCTTAGAAAAAAAAGTTCCTTCTTTACAGAATTGAGTTTTAAAATAAAAAAAAGCACACACACACAACCATCAATTTGAGTTATGAAAATGTAGCACTGCTCCTGACATTGTCAGGGATTCAGGCAGTGCCATAATAAAGCAGAAGATAATCCAATAAAGCCAGACATCTATTTAATAAGGACTAAGAAAAGACAATGACATCCCTTCTCTAAATGCATGTCCAGCATTTGCTTATTTAAGATTTTAAAAAATCAAATCTGCAGGATGCATTTACCACTTATTAATTTTCATCCTTTTTTAACCCCCCACCCCACCCACACAGATTTTTTTTTTAAAAAAGGGAACAAACTTGTGGAAAGAGTGAGGTTATTATGACTAACTGGAGTTAGTATTTGTGAGGTGAAGTGAGCAGCAGCAATGCCCCCATCTCCTCCCCGAGCCACTCAGCAGTAGGACCAGCAGGTCAGGCTGAAGGCAAGCGCCTCGCTCAGCCCACTGCCCAGCCGAGTGTGGGGCAGCAGCAAAGTGCCCCTCACTCCCTCATTCACTCAGTACTCCAGTCACTCCCTCCCTCCCTCACTCACTCAGTACCCCAGTCACTCCCTCCCTCCCTCACTCAGTACCCCAGTCACTCCCTCTCTCTCTCCCCCTCCCTCACTGACTGTCCCATCCTGTCTCCCTCACTCCCTCAACCCCTCACTCCCTCATTCACTCAGTACTCCAGTCACTCCCTCCCTCCCTCACTCAGTACCCCAGTCACTCCCTCCCTCCCTCCCTCACTCAGTACCCCAGTCACTCCCTCTCTCTCCCCCTCCCTCAGACTGTCCCATCCTGTCTCCCTCACTCCCTCAACCCCTCACTCCCTCATTCACTCAGTACCCCAGTCACTCCCTCCCTCTCTCCCCCTCCCTCACTGACTGTCCCATCCTGTCTCCCTCACTCCCTCATTCACTCAGTACCCCAGTCACTCCCTCCCTCTCTCCCCCTCCCTCACTGACTGTCCCATCCTGTCTCCCTCACCCCCTCATTCACTCAGTACCCCAGTCGCTCCCTCACCCTCCGTCACTGACTGTCCCATCCTGTCTCCCTCACTCCCTCAACCCCTCATTCCCTCCGTCACTGCCCCAGTCACTCCCTTATTCCTCTCTCCCTCAATCCCCATCTCTCTCCTTCCTTCAACTCTTCCCTCCCTCAATCCCTCGGTGCCTAACTTCCCCCGTTACTCTCTTATTCAACTCTCTCATTCACTCCCTCTATCTCTCATTCACTCCCTCTATCTCTCATTCACTCCCTCTCACATTCATTCACTCACTCTCTCTCTAATTCACTCCCTCTCGCATTCACTCCCTTTCTCTCTTTCTATCTCTCTCTCATTCACTCCCTCTCACATTCATTCACTCACTCTCTCTCTCTATCCCTCTCTCATTCACTCCCTCTCACATTCATTCACTCACTCTCTCTCTAATTCACTCCCTCTCGCATTCACTCCCCCTCTCTCTCTCTATCTCTCTCTTCATTCACTCCCTCTCAGCATTCATTCACTCACTCACTCCATCTCTCTCTCTGATTCACTCCCTCTCGCATTCACTCCCTCTCTCTCTCTCTCTCTCTCATTCACTCCCTCACATTCACTCACTCACTCTCTCTCTCTCTCTCTCTCTCCAATTCACTCCCTCTCGCATTCACTCACTCCCTCTCTCTCTCTCTATCTCTCTCTCATTCACTCCCTCTCTCTCTCTCTCTCATTCACTCACTCACTCCACTCACTCCACTCCACTCACTCACCCCATGAGCCAGTCCATCGCTGAGGAGCCAGTGAAGAAGCCGGGCGACCTGACCCGGTCGTCAGCTTCCAGCCGCCCTGGGCGACCGAACCATCAACGGTGAGGATCGCGTCGGGCGGGGCGGGGCGAGGCAGACATTGAGCGGGAGAGGAGCGGCCCGGGGAGTGCGCGCGTGGGGCTGGCGGCCGCTGGCGGGGCTGTGCAGCCGGCGAGGAGCGCTCAGACATCGGCGGCGCTGCTGCCACCTCCAGCCCGGCCGGAAGTCAACACTGAGCCCCGCCCCCGGCAGGGGGGGGGGCAGAGGTCACCGCCCACTTCCGGTGGAGGGCCCGCCCCCCCGTCTCTGTATATCAACAAAACCGCCCCGCCGCCTGCTGGGAAATGCAGTTCACCCGTTGCCGGGCAACCAGGGCTCCGAGGAGAACACGCGTCGGCCTCGGCTCTCCGAGACGTCTCGAAGCGCTTCCGCAGAATACACAGTCGAGGGACTTGAGTTAAGGAAACCCCCCACCCCCCCAAAAAAAAAAACATTTCGCCCCGACCGACCGACCGGGGGAATCGAACCCGGGGCCTCTCGCTCTGCGAGGCGATGCCCCCCCACCCCAGCCACCGGGCGGCAAAAGGCGGCAAAGGCCTTTTTCACCGTCGCTAAGTTACTGCGGAGGCTGGAGAACCTGCGATAAATAACAAGACGGGCGCCAGGAAGGCCCGCAGCGGGTCAGGCAGGACAGGGCAGCATCGATGGAGAGAGGAAGGTCAGTTAGCGTTTCGGGTTGTGATCTTTCATCAGAACCCAGGGTGAGACAGACCCCCCACACCCCCCCCCCCCACCCCACCCTCCCCACAGCTCGGTTTCAACAACAAGACAATCATAAATTGGTCATTTTCAATCCACGACTGTCTGCGCGCAGTTGGGCAGCGTTTCGCCCACAAAGCATACGGTGGATTCACTTCGCGGTCTGTTCTGTGAAGCGCTGTGAGACGTCGAGAAGACGTGAAAAAGCGCTCTATCAAATGCCAGGACTGTTATGTTATGTTATATAACGACGACTGGTTACATTTGTAAATGGAGCCTTTCACGTAGGGAGGACATTTCGATCGAGCGGCCGGCGCCGCCGAGGAGTAACTGATTGCAGGACTCCCACCCAAGGTGGCGCAGTCCGATAGACCAAAAAACAATGGGTGGGATGAAACCAAAGTTGTTGTTTTTTTAAAAAAAAACAAAAGTTGACAAGCGTGTAAAGGGAACAGCAGACTGAGGCGTATTTGTATGCTTCTTACACGTGTTTGCCGGAGGATCATGATCGGTCAATTTTCTACTGGTATTCCATCGCTTGAAGCAATGGCAATTGTTGAGTTGCTCATTCAAGTATCATCTTGCCAATTTAGTCTGTCTCTTGAAAGGGCGAGCTGCACAACAGAGCGATAAAGGAGTCTTCATATTGATCCAGTGGAAGATGTGAGAGGACTGCTGAGTCTGAGTTGGGTTTTCTAACACTGATATATTACAGGCAGATGGCTCATTTGCTTCCTGACCATGGAGCAATCTAGGTTTCCACTGCATTTCATAGTTTTGGAATGGTGCCAAGCTATCTTTGACTAACTGGCCAAAATGTATGAACGTAGGAACAGGAGTAGGCCATCCAGCTCACTGAGCCTGTTCCGCCATTTAATTAGATCATGGCTGATCTGTACCGCAACTATTATTTTGTCTCAATGAGTACGTTGAGACAAAATATTTCCTGATACTATCGGACTGATTCCTTTGAGCCTAGTTTCTTGAATTGAGTTCTAAACCACGAGAGCAGCTAAAAATATTTCATGGTCTTAGGCTCTCCATATGTATGTCAATTAACACTCGTTTTAAAGGGATTGAGTTCTCTATGAAATCTGCATTTTATATATAAACTACTTGATATGTGTGATAATATATTCATTATCTAAAATGCTACATCATCAAAAATTCTACCAGAGAAATGGATTTGGTGCAAATTTTTCAAACGGGCAAATCCATATCTTCAGGAAGACTGCTGTTTTCTGTCTCTCTCCACATGGTAGGCTGTAATACTCAACCGAGAGAGAGTTGGCTTCATCTAACATTGAAAGTTAAATGAGATGAGACTTAAAAGCTCAAGATTTATTGCAATATGAATCAAATTCAAACCAGGGGATTTCAATGCTTTCTATTTTGTGAATACAATAAGCCATATTATGATTATTAATACCATAAGATTAAAAATCCACATCAATAAATCCTATTAGAATCAGCAAACATAATTAAATCATCCATTTGATGTTTTACTAACCCTAGTTGTGTCTGAGTAAGCTGCAGCAATTTGGAATCTATAAATGTCTCTCAGTGATTTAGAGACAAGTTCAAATAAACCAACCCAAGAATAATTTCAACTCAATATTAACATTAAGGGACCGCCTGTGTTAAATGACTTCATTTTAAAAAAACAAAGGTGGCTGAGCTGCCTGCATTTACTTTTGTGTTTTAAAATTCATATTCCTGCATTACTGAAGCTTGCATTGGGGCATTGTAGTGTAGGCTATTGACTCCTGCATCCCTTCCCCTTCCCCCACCTATTATTTTCTGACTAACGTACAGGAGGGAAACTTCCACTGGGGAGAGGCAAATATTCCAGGTAACTCAGATCAACTGATTGGGGTTAGCCCTTGAACCAAGATTCTAAAATGACTATGTTACCAGGTTACTCTCACTTTGCTGTGAAGAACTGTATAAAATGCAAGCTGTATATGTAACTTGAAACAAGAATTGGTGATGAATAGCTTGTCAGACTATCTCTTGATATTGATTTTTAAATGGTTTTGCCGAGCTTCCACTTGTTATCTCATTTTCCACTGGGTATGTTCTCAACAGAATAATACTTTAGGATATTCCAAGATAGTAGAAGACGACGACATAGTTTTAGAGCTCAAAAGGCAATTTCAGGACAGATACCAAGAAATTTATCTTTACTCAGAGGGTAATTAATCACAAACTGGTTGCCATGCCAGGTGGCTGAGATCAGGACACTGAATTTATTTTAAAAAGCTTGATGGTATAATAGGAAACGGGTGAGGTGGGTTTTCTGGAAGGATGAGATTGGATGGACCGAAGGGCCTTCCTCATCCAAACTAATGTTGTGAAAGAGTAGATATTCCTGTGTATTTGTCCATATTATGTTATTGAGGGTGAATCAGTTAAAATACCCACAGGGCCCCAACATTTAATGTGAATGGAAAACTATTTATTTACATTAAACTGAGTTAAGAAACAATGAACAAGGAGCAATATAATCCTTCCTTCAAAAATAATAAAAAATTGGTCACTTAATCCACGACTGTTTGTGGGACAATGCTGTGCTGACAATGAAGAATTGCATACTCGTGAAGGAAAAGTTAGACAGGTAATGGTACTATACTCTATATTAATTGTACCTTATGGACCTCTAATAGAAATCCTTAGTTTTAAAAAAACTATATTGTCCTAATGTGAATGCTTATAGTAAATAAATCATATTGTAATGATTCCTTAATTCTTCAGCTCAATAGCATTGGTTAACTTTGATTATCTACAGGGTGACCAAAAAGTAGTGATAACTACCCGATTATCTATAAATATATATATCATAACACTTATTAGATATTATCATGCCATCACAACTTTTTGGTCACCCTGTAGAATTTGATCTGCTGAGTATTGAAAGCAAAGATGGCAAAGGTTTGTTTCAACTAGTGAGAGTTTCTGATAACGGAACAAACCATATCCTATAGAAGTGATGACTCTGAACTTCTCAATTAATGTAATGAATGAAATAATGTGGTTTTAATGACTAAGATTGCAGCAGTATCTTTCATCACCCTGCTGAATCATTAAAAAAGCACTTGTTCGTTTTGCAAGAAATTCTACGCATCACTAACTTTCAGAACTTTCACTGAGCTATGCGTAAAAGAAAAGTCAGTTTGCAATATTTTTTCTGTACCACGTATCAGAATAGTTCTGTAGCTAAATCTAACTAAAATAACCATGTTAGAATTCTGTGAATATTAGGATAGTAAACCAAGTGGGTTTCCTCAGCAACACTGCTCAATAACATCAGTGACATAGTGTATGGTTCTAAATATTTATTCTAATATTTAGAACCAGTTGTTATCGTATTGGCAGAATATTATTTATTCTGACGATTCGATAACAACTTTTAAGAAAGAAATAGATAATTATTTGGGGAGGACAAGTTTGCAGGGTTATGGGGAGAGTGTGGGGGAGTGGGATTGATTTGGATAGCTCTTTTCAAAGAGCTGGCACAGACACAATGGGCCGAATGGCCTCCTTCTGTACTGTATAATTCTATGATTCTATGATGATTCTAGCTTTCAATTCTGGAAGCATATCAAATGCAAGAATTCTTATTGTTGGACCTGAATGTTTGCGTAGAGCACTGTTGCATCAAGTCACTGTTATTGTAATGCTTGGAGTAGGAGGTTTGACAGTCTGAAGACAGCCGACAATATTCCAATACAAGCCACAACAGTTGCTCTTCTGTAGAAAATGAATGTTTTGCTTCCAGACTCAGAATTGAGAATAACAATACAGTATAATAATGATCCTTGCATTTGATATAGCACTTTATCAGTCATCGAAACATCTCAAAGTGCTTCACAGGATTTGCCGTAAAGTGTCGTGACTGTGCCCATGGCAATGTCCCACAAACGGATGTGAAATGAAAGACCAACTTTTTCTGGAGGATTGCTTGCCAGGACACGATGAAATGAAGATAGATATGATATGATAGATATGAAGAAATCTAATTTGAAAGCAGTTCGGAGATGACGCGAGTTTCTAGTTGGATTAGTATAGTATTGTGTGGCACCACGTCAGTGAACCCAAATTACATTTTAAAAACTCAAGCAATAATGATGCTGCTGTCCAGAGAATCATCAACAATGGAAGGACAGGACACAGAATGTTCTGGTGCTTATCATCTGGAAAACAAACTACTTATTCCTAGACACAGGAATTCTATACCAAGAAGCTGGACATACTGAAATTCTATCGTTGGATGAGAATTATGCTTGTATGAATTCATCTGACGTGCACTATTTCCTTATTTAAAACCCTAGTCTGTATGTCTTACTTTTTTTTGCTAGCAGCTGCTTAAAGAGAATAATGCCTTGTCAATTCTCAGTTCAATTGCTTAGGCAGAACTACAATAAAGAACTGAAAACCAGTGGGCTTTTAATCTCAGTCATCTGCAGTCTGTATGTGTCAAAACTTAAAATAGATTCACTCAGTGCTATAAATGGGGAAATCTGCTATGCTCTTCACAATGGTTTGTGTCCTATACTGCAGAGTCTCTGCTCCTCCGAGAGCTTGGCAAGAGGTATGGAGATAACCAGTTGCCAAAGGTTTAAGCTGAACAATCACAGTTGACAATACCTGTTATAAACCATGTAATGTTACTGGCTTATATTTTCCTTTGTGCATGTGTGTATTTATGGCAAGCTCAGATGTAAGCCCCTGCTAAACTGAAAATGTAAATGCTATTCTTTGAACAGTGGACGTAATAAATAATTGGATTTCACTGGCAATCTGAAGAATTCTTCCTGAGCCCAGTCAAGCTTCTATGCATAAAAGGGAGTTGCTATAAGCAACCAGATGATATTTAATGATCGTTCATAACTTTGCTTTGCCTCAGCCTGGTTCTGAAGCTACAATTCACCATCTCTCTCTCTCTTTCTCAAAATAAAATTGTAATAATATGTAAATGTATAAATGAGGCAATTGAATGGTATATTCAATTGAGTGGAGTCCTGTAGCTCAGTGGTTAGAGCACTCGCTTTGCAAGCGAGAGACCTGGGTTCGATTCCTGGCAGGGTGAAACATTGGGCAAGTTTCCTTACTCCATACACCTGATAATAATCCCTCAAGAAAAAAAATTATAAATTGATCATTTCAATCTACGACTATTTGTGGGACACTGCTGTGCACTTCACCCACAAATATACAGTCAATTCACTTTACAGCCTCATTCTGTGAAGCGCTTTGAGACGTCCAGAAGACGTGAAAAAGCGCTATATCAAATGCAACGATTATTATTATATGAAGAAACCCAGAGTGATATGAAATGCTGTTCCATTACAAATACTGAAGAACCTCTGTTAAGTGGTAACAACCTGGTTCCTCTATTGATAAAAAAAAAGGCCAGTGAGGAAATCCAAAGAAAATGATTGCATGGAAATTGGTATACAAAGTATGAATATGAATTGTTACCTGATATCAAAGAAATGTAGTGTATGGAATAAGTGGAACCACACACTCTCTTATCAGTGACTATTCAGCATCAAAGGAAACCATCAGAAATAGAGCCACAGACTCCTTGTATATTTGCATAATGTCTCGGCATTAATACATAGTCACAACATTATTGTTACTGTATGAAATGAATCCAAGGAATCCAACACTCAGATGTGTCACAAAATACCTTGGCAAGTATCACAGTGAATGTCAAAGAGGCGTTGTAAATCAAACACGTTCTCAAACTGATCTTGTTCTCCAATACTGAGATTAAGATTAGGTTAAGAGATTTCTGAAAAAAACATTGGTCACGTATAGATATGTTATTCTAGGATACACTAATGAAAGGAGCTTTTTATGGGAAATGAAAGTAAAGCTGTCCATAAGAATTTTATTGAGGACCAAGGGACGGTTTGTTTTATTGTTTCCGCTCCGCCAGTTTGTTGATCTTTGTCCTCCCTTTCGTATCATTCAGGTGTGGATTGAAGTATTTACACCTTTGCACACCTGCATAATGATGCAATCTAAATCAATGAACACTCACAAATTCAAACTACCGAAAACAGCAAAACAAAAGGACACAGGTTCAAGGTTGCAAAGGGCAATTTCAGGATAGTTATAAATTGTAATTAATAACTAAAACAGTTTATAAATAAATAATCATCCTTGCACTGTAAAGTGTAATAATTGTGTATTTTATAGGTGAATGCACCAGCCCATTTGCCTAAAGCAGTGTCGCATAAATAGTCGTGAACTGAATTTCCTGACATAGGTTTCGAACTTCTGATACAGAAGCGAGAGTGCTATTGACTGAGCCAGGCTACTGGGTTTACCAGGAATGATCATTGAGGCCAGGACTCTGGATTGATTTAGGAAAAGGTTTGATGCTGTGTTGGGTATTCTGCAAAGATAAGATCAAATGAGCCAAAGGGCCTTTTTCGTGCAGGGAAAGTAGAAATTCAAATCTGATCCTTCCAGATAAGTTAACAATATCAGTTAGAATTACTGAGCCACATCAAAATAATTATGGATTTTAACAAATTGATCCATCTTGGGTAATGCATCTTATTTCACAATTTCTTATTGTGAAGTTCAGTATTTTTTTTGAATAAACCATCTTTGTGGCCCTGCTGTGGATTATGCTTCATTCAATCTTAGAATCACTAAGTAACGGGAGAGTTAGAAGGTAAGAAGAGCTGCTGTGTAGCGATGGAAATCAATAAATCGGTACGGTGTCCATTCAATTTATGGCACAGTTTGTTTCATGTGTGTTCAAGAACTGGGAAAGCATCCATAGAAACAGCACGTTGCACACTGACAGCTGCCTGTTGGGTTGTAATCAGTGTATGGATTGTTTGCTGTAGAATCACTTGTGCTATGAGCAGTAAATCCTGCCCTGCTACAGTCCCCAGTTAATCCCAAGTTTAACTGTTCATGGAGGCAATCCTCAGTTAATCAACTTTAATATGACTCTTGGCTCTTCCACTCTGTTTGTACCAGCCATTGAGTGACACCTTATAAACTAGGAGTCATTTTACGATTTGGAAATTAAGTGACACTGTTCAAATCAGTAGCACTAGAAAGATAACAAGAACAGCGAGTTCCACAGTGTCAAAATGAACATGGCTGTTGCCATCTCTGTGAGTTTCGCCAGCAGATGAGTGTTTGTGAGCACTCTTCATTAGCCAATTTGGGGCATGGTGAAACGTGGTACCTTATTAAAGGATTCATAAACCATTCTTATCGTGCTGCCATTTATTTTAGATGTGACGACATATGTCAAAAAATAACTGCTGGAAAGATGCCTTACTTAACATCAGATCCAGTCACCATATTAGTCATGGTTGCAGAAGAAGGCTAACTAACACTTTACCGTGAGATAATAATAACAAGATTACATTTGTATAGCGCTTTTCACGTCGGGAGGACAGCGCCTTGGGACGTCCTCCCGACGTGAAAGGCGCTCAATAAATGGAATGTTGTTGTTGTTGTCCCAAGACGCTGGACAGAGTACAGCATTTCAGACCCGAGCTGGGGTTTGTATGTGAGGACCAGGATCTTGAACTGGATCCTCTGAAGGATAGGGAGCCAGTGGAGTGGGGCGAGAGTTGGGGAGATGGGGTCACAGAGTTTGGTGCGGGACAGGACACGGGCTGCGGAGTTCTGGATTATCTGCAGCCTGTGGAGGGAGGAGTTGGGAAGGCTGTCAAGCAGGACGATGGCATAGTCGAGCCTGGAGGTGATGAAGGTATGAACAAGAGTTTCAGCGGCCTGAGGGGTGAGGTAGTGGCGGAGTCGGGCGATGTTACGGAAATGAGGGAAGGCAGAGCGGGTCATGGCTTGAACGTGGGGGAGAAAAGACAGTCGAGGGTCGAACAAGACACCGAGATTCCTGACTGTTAGGTTAATTATTTAATAACCCAAATAATTGCTTCAATCTGAGTCTTTTGCTTTGTGGTGCTGTATTACATTTTCTGTATTTGTACCATAAATAGGCATGTAATTAGCATGCACTGTAAATAAGATGGTTATAATCCCATTGTGCAGATGTTGATTCAAAGGTAACACACTATATTCCATAAATCATTTGGGCTGCATATCTGGGCTGGCTGCAAGTTCAGGTTTTGAAGTGAAACGATAGAGGTTTGCATGGAGCACTTTAGTTTTCCCCTGCTTTGTGATAATTCAGCTCAAATCATCAAATTGCAAGGGATCTATCCAAAAGAGCCCTGTGTCAGGGTTAAAAGGTTAAGCCGTTTTAAATGTTTTGGAAAACAGCAGCCTGGAGATTTCTATCAGGACACAGTCTAGTTTTATGTGCAATTGCTTACATCGTGTTAATATTCACAAGCAGGAGCCAAGTCAAAACCCTAGCTGCTTTAATTCCTATTTGCAACTGAAAACATTGTGATTGTAAGACATAGTATTTGAAATAAATTAAATCCACCCTGTTTTCTTATTATTGATTTTTTTGGGGGAAAAAAGGAACTATAATCAGTGTAAGCCCAGTGAGGCCCCACAGTGAAACCTCGATAGGTAAAAAAATTATTACTAGAATCACCAGTCCACCTGCCTCCTCCTGCTTTCCTACCATTTTCAATAGGATTTGCCTTCAATCTTAATCCGCTTTACATTCCTATTAAATTGAAAACATATTTTTTAAACATAAACACAATGTGTGTTGGCGCATGTCTAGTTTAATGTTTTGGCACCTTTTTCACCTATTTTTCAGTGATATGAATTTAAAATTGGTTAAAAGGAAGCCAAATTGGATTCCCCTTTCCCCCTCATCACATTACAACCGCTGGCTATTCTTACTCATGAAGAAATAGCCACCGAGGAAAAGAGGATTAAAAGCTAGCAGAAAATCTCTAGAAACTGGTGTGTAAAAGTATGGTTTACTTCTGAACATCCTATTTGTGTTTGCCATGAAATAGATTGAAACATTCTTCACCCCATAAGGTTTAGAGCTTTTAGGTTGAATGGAAACTGCAAAGTCATACCACCTTCCATCTGCGTAATCATTCCTTTGTTATGTAACTTTTCTCTCAAGGAAGTACTTACCTGCGAAACAAAGCTTAAGTGTGCCATCTAGTGTTGGGAAATGAAACACTCTTCAGAGAAATTAAACTTCCTTCAGAAAGGAAACCCCAGGATAGGAACAAGCAATTGTGAATGAGTCTTCAATTTGACAGAAAGCAAAAACAAGGTAACAAATTATTGGTTTCTAAATGTTTCTTGGTCATTTGCAGAGCAAATAACTTTGAGGTAATTGTAGATAAACAGCTCTTTCAATATGTAGAGTTGATTTAAAATGGTATAATAAATAATAACCCTTTCATTTGTTACAGCACTTGTAATGGTAAAATATCTCAAAGGGGTTAACAGATAATTACGGTAAAGTCAATTTACCTTTTCACTTGTAGGTTACAGCCAATTTGCGTACAGCAATGTCCCACAAATAACAATGAATAATTAATTTACCTGGAGGATTGTTGGCCGGGACATCAGAAGAAACTCCTTTCTCATTTTGAATAGTGCCATGAGATCTTTAATGTGAACAGGCAAACAAACCAACAAGAACAATGTCTCTCCACTGCACATTATTGGAGGGTGGTGGGTATATGGCAGAAACGCATGTAAACCTGTGCATACTATCAGAATGTTTTTAAAATTTATATATAGATGTCTTAACGCACTTCACAGAATATACTGTAAAGTAAATTGACTGTATGTTTTGTGGGCAAAATATACAGTCTAGATACTAGTGCAATGTTCTATGTACTATATAGACGTTTGTTACTTTAAAAAGGCGTTTCTTTAAAAATACAAAAACATTTAAAAAAGCAAGAACATTAATTTCACGAATATCTGTACGTCTGGAATTTATAACTGTGTTTCCCATCATTCTGCACTAGTATGTTCATCGGATAGATAGAGGAAGGATATGTGTTCATCCGTTTAAGATGATTCATACTTTAAAATGCCTACTTCACATCCCAATGGATCCTATACTTGCTGTCACTCTTTGATGCAGTGCATGTATATATTGGATTCAAATTGCTTTGATCTCTTACAACTTTTATGTACAATCTTACAGCGCAAAGGAAAGTCTCAATTATACATGTGAAGGAAGAATGTCATTTTCTTCCCTCACGGTGTCATGACTCACTTGAAGGCATCATGATGGTAAAAGCCAGGAACCTGAGAGAGAAAGTGGTTCAAAATGAGCATCTCAACTACTGAACTTCCAAGAGAGGATAGGTTTATGAATTCTTTCCACCAAACCTGAACACTTGAATCTTGTAAGGACTTTATGTGATCCTAAAGCTTTGGGGGGAAAAAATATGCGATCCAAAAGTCAGCTGAAACAAATGGCAGCACACATTTCTTGTCACAATGAAACATCTGTGTTTGTTTTCAAGGCAGTCATTAATTACAAAGCTGATGAATGACAGAAAAGCTACATATTGTATTTACAACACCTACCATATGGTCGGGTCCAGTGTATCACCGGGTAAACTTTTTCAACAAATCATTCGTTGATTTCCTCTTTTGATTAAATTCGACACGTAAGTGACCGAAACAATGACACTGTCATCTTTCAAACAGTAAACAAAATGTAACCATCCAATAACTGATCGCCATGACGTGCATTGTTTAACTGAGGTCAATAACATTTATATAACACTCAATTACAGTCAATATTTTGTTTCATTGGTGTATTTAGAAGTAATGAAACATGATACACCCAGCAATATTTACCACACATTAAGAAAATCCTCATTTTGTTATTTTATTGCTCAAGTTGATCAAGTTGAAAATGTAGCTACCAGATGATGTGCCCAAGAGGGATCACAGTAACATACTTAAGCTGTTTTTTATCTACAGGTTTATATGTGCAGATTGATTGCTGTAGAAAATTGCCAAAATTGTGACTTCATGACAAACAACTAGAGGGACAACACAGGACCTTTTAAATAAATTCTATATAACTGAAAATAGTACAGTAATTGTTCAGCTTTTCAAATTCATGGTAATTATTAGCTAAGACAGACTTGCAGATGAAGTCTCCTCCCCCTACAATATAAATTGCTTGTAGTCCTGTAGTTCAGTGGTTACAGCACTCGCCTTGCAAGCGAGACACCTGGGTTCAATTCCAGGCAGAGTGAAACCTTGGGCAAGTTTCCTTACTCCACACGCCTGATAATAATCCCTCAAGAAAAAAAATTATAAATTTGTCATTTTCAATCCACAACTGTTTGTGGGACACTGCTGTGCGCAATTGGCTGCCGCGTTTCGCCCACAAATATACGGTCAATTCACTTTACAATCTATTCTGTGAAGCGCTTTGAGACGTCGAGAAGACGTGAAAAAGTGCTATATCAAAATGCAAGGATTATTATTATAAAAGCCAATGGCAAAATGGAAAGGAAATATGATTGTGCAATACAATCAATACTCTATTACCAAATTTAGAGGAGAGAAAGCTTATCGTTGACAGATTCTTGACATCAAATCTGTAACCAGTGGAATCTGTAAGAGCTTTCATAGTTTTCCATTTGAAATATTCAATTTCATTTTTAGTTTTCCTGGAGCCTGGATTGCCATTCCCTTGTAATAATTCTGCTCCTTTAGCTAAATCAGTGCTCAGAGGAGGTGACAGTGAAGGGGAAGAAAAAGGAGTTTGTTTTCTCTCTCTGAAGTCAGAGTGTCACCACAGATTCATTATAAACATTTTGTAAATCAGAAACTGCTGACAATCCACCAAATCATCACCTTGAAGAAATTGATCAGTGGAAAAACATGCAACATGAAACCGAGCATTTATGTTTTTGTTATTTATATCAGCGTCTGGGAATTATGCTGAATGAGTCATACATCAGGTTTTGGCCTGGATTTGTGTTCACTTCCTGGATCTTTATTCTAGGTTTTGGAGCCTCATACAACAACAGCAAAATTACATGTGTATAGCGCCTTTCACGTCAGGAGGATGTCCGAAGGTGCTGGACTATCAGTGTTTTGGACCTGAGCTGGGGGTCGGGATCGGGGAGGGTGGAGGGCAAGTGGGGAAGGAGGATGATCGAATGCATGGTTGAAGAGGAGAGTCTTGAGGCGGGTCTTGAAGGAGGCAAGGGAGCGGGTGAGGACAGAGGGACTGCACGGTGGAGTTCCAGAGGGTGGTGGCAGAGTGGCTGAAGGCCCACCTGCTAATGGTGGGGTGGGGGAGGTACAAACAACAACAACAACTTGCATTTATATAGCGCTCTTCATACGGGGTAACATCCCGGAGCACTTAATTACAACTATCTGAAAAGTAAATTTGCAACAAACTTTTTTCAAATGAACAACGGGTTGACAAAACATAGAGCAAAGTACTTGGAGCACATGTGCTTGGAGCACCTCCCTCTTCAACTCTTCCATGCCATCTAACTGTAGCAACCCGAGTCCACATTGATAAATTATGTTCAAAACTCAGTCGCAGTTACACAGATTAATGACTTGTGTTACTGTAATTTTTTATGGGCTAATACCTGTATCCTTCTTTACCTTCCTTTAGCTTGCCCCACCCCCACACTCACTCACTCGCGCGCGCGCGCGCACACACACACTACTCATTGTTTGATTTACAGAAGAATTTTTTTAGTTCAGGACAAGTTGAATAGTATATGATTTTCTCTCTTATTTCTATTCAGTTCAATTAGTATAACAGCTCGGAATAGAGTTCTGAGCCTGTGAACATTTCAGTGATATGTATGAAGCATTTAAAGAGCTTGATCTTTACAGTTTATGGTTTCTCTATGATTGATGGTTTAAAAATCAAAATTGAAAAATGCTGGAAGATCTGAAGACTGTGTCTCCTGTGCTCGATCTGACTGAGAGTCTTTTGTTTATATCAGAAAGGTTGACTTCTAAGGTAGAAATTCTGCTGAGAACACTTATCAAAGCTGGAACCATTAATATTATATATTGTAGCCTACTTCAAAACTGATGGAATTCTTCATGAAAGCTGACAAGGCAAAGTGTCCTTGAACCTAAACCTGCAATCATTACAATCCAAAGAAAATGACTTTACTGCCCATTTTTTTCTGTTTGCACTAGATTATTGCTTTCTCTGGGTGTTTTATTAAAGTCTTCAAAGGCCATTTTAGGGCAGTTTATCTTTCTAGCCCTTGCGTTAGAGTTAACAACTGCCATCATGGTATTGAAAAAGGGAAGTAAAATGAGACGAGGCTTTACTAATGGTCATTAGGCATGCAAGATAAAGATAACACTTGCTACTGTTTAGGACTCAAGTCACTGAAGATAGATAACACTGAAAATAGATAGATAAATAGGCTGAAGTTTCATGTTAGTAAAATCTGTTGTAAATTCAGCATTATCCTGTTTGTTAAGATCTTGGTAATCTGGTATAGGTTAGAACTGTCTGATACTGGGACGAGCAGTTTTGGTTATGCTGCAACATAGTTTCACCTTTCTTGCTGAGGAGTTGATGAAAAAGACAGTGGGAAATAATGTGAGTATAAATAGTCCAAGTCAAGTGGAAAACAGTGCCGTTTAATGGGGAAATAGCATGAGACTCAGAAATCACTTGTGGCTAAAGTTATAGAAGCGGGCAGGGAGTGTTGCTACGGAAAGAGTGCATAGGAGAAACAGTTTTACACTGAAATGTAGAAGGGTGGGATGGAGCGAGATATAGACCAAGTCGGAGTTTGCGTCTATAAAGATCCGGCCTGGTGATAGAGACAGAAAGGGATTGGCTGTGTGGAAGAGCAATATAATAAGATGGAAATTGAGAGCATCATGGAATGGTTGGATCCTGCTTCCCTGATGGGTGAGTTCTCAATGCTGGTCAGACATTATTTTCAGTGTTAGGTTTCCCTAAAACACAAACCGTTAGTTAATCTTGATGACAACAACAAAATCAACAGCAACAAAATTACACTTATAGAGCGCCTTTCACATCGGGAGGAACTTGAGTGGATCCAGACCTTGAGCTATCTGCCAGGTGGAAATGGAAGCCTGTGTGACATCCTTCAATTTCCCACATCCTTTAAAGGAAATGGTTGTCCAGTGTCTCACCAGATAGTAGAGTCAGGATCAGACAATGGTTTGTGGAGAATCATGTGGAACAATTGAATAGCATACATATTACAGCGCCAATTAGTTGTGCCCTCAAGCCATATTCTTCGTGCGTGTGTTATATGT